AGGTAAATCTCCTCCTGTGGCGGTAACAACACTATCGTGGACAGAGCCGAGGCGGCAGGCGCGTTGCAGCGAGCGGCGGGCGGAATGTGTCACTAGACTCATTTCATGCCGGCTTAACAACTCATCGGCCAATGCCAACTGACTAACGCTGTTTACCGACCTAGCGGCGACCGACCGACGGCACCACGGCGCTACGCTCCCCCAGACGGCAAATCGAGCAACTTTTCTTCCGGGGTACAAGCAAATTTGCGAGTTATCGAGTTAGCGGGTGAGAGTGGAGGACAACTGCGCCGGGAGGTCGGCCGCGCGCGGCTGCCGGCGCCCGAGCTCTGCGCTGAGGTTGAAGACCTGAACCGGTTCGATCCATCGGTCAGACTGCTTTGCAACGAGCGACGGCCTCGTCCATCGATCATTCGCCCCAACCCGATTTCGCTGCCAGCTCCGTTAGCAAATGTCGAGCGTCTCCACTACACATAATCGCGTCTATTAGTCAAGGGGCGTGACGAAAGGTCGTTCAACGATCATGGGACGCGGTGGCACAATGCTAGTGGTTGTCACTTCATAACAGCAAAGACAACACAGTACTTCCGTTTGGTCATACCAGAATAGGCGAGAGGGAAGACGATTTTGTCTGTCAGCCGCGGTTGTGTAGTCGATAAAGCGTCGGACCGAGAGGCCCCGGGTCACTCACCCTCCTTCCTTGCAAAGTTGATTGATGAGTGTGATTCATCGTCGGAAACAAACGGGTGTGTATCCCTCATGCTTGCCACATAGCTGCTTTAAAAAATAACGTGCCCCTGGCAGATGGCACTGACGTTGGAAATCGGCGCCTCGCCCTTAACTTCACGAAGACAAGGGCCGCAGAAAAGGCCCCTTTCTTGAAAGTGCAACGAAAACCGACATTCCAACGTTTACAGATTTTGCGTTTTTCCTTTTCATCCTACTTGATGCGATTCGTCTTAATCCATTTGATAGCCAATGTGAACAGCGTGACAATCTATATCCAGTGTCATAAACACAAGTTGTAACCCAAAAAATCTGATTGCCAGTTACTGTGATCCTCTCCATTTCGATTTGCGGAGGCAACCGCATCAGGTACTGTCTTCAGTGAATGGCAACTCCTATATCCATAAGCACAGTCGACAAATGGAGGTTAGTTTTTACTTAAGCTACATAATGATCGTACTGTAAAAGTCTTCTATGCAGTCCTCAGTCTTAAGCAGTCGTTCGTAAGAGTATGCGACATGGATGAATAGGGTGGCAGTACAAAGAAGCACGTTCGATCGTGATATTGAAACACGTCAATATTCGTATCATATTATTGCTGACGACAGTTCGAATACAAGCTGAAGCATAAAACAGTCAATCACGCCGAAAGAGGGGTTGGACAGACTTAGGTCTTGACCAATCTTCATTTATTACTGATTGCTGAGCAAGAAATATTTTTCTCTGGGTGAGTGTTATTTCAACCGCCTAGTGATGTGCGGCTAATGCGGAAACACCTAGAAATATATCTACAGATCCTGAAAATTTGCTGCCTTTGGAACAGCGACCTAATTATGTCATGAACCTTTGCATATCTCTATGTAAGGACGAAACTCCCATGTCCATAACCACAATAAAAAAATGAAACGCAGGTTTTGCCTAAGATACGTAATGATTGAATTGCTAGTCTTCCCTGCGATTTTCAGCCATAGATAGTGTTTCATGAGGATAACCGATACGAATGAATGGTGTGTACAGTGGAAGAGAGGTCCGCTGGATTATGGTAAGGAAATACGCCAATATTCGCATCAAACGATTTTTGACGACGATTCGAACACGATTTGCAACATAACAGATTCTTCTTGCAAATGATGAGGCTAAATGGAATAAAGGCTTGACCAATCCTCATTTATTTCAACGGAAGAAATTTTCACTCATGGTGTGCATTATCTCCACTGGTATATGATGTACAGCTAATTGGGGAGAACTTGAAATGTATCACTCCCCCCTCAAGTTTTGCCGTTTCTCTGGTGCACTATTTATTTATGCCATCAACTTCAGTTTGTTACGTAATGAGATAACTCCTATGTCCTTAATAATTGTAGATTAACGAAGGTTAGCTCTTGTTCAAGCTACGTAATGATCCCATTGCAACAGTCTTCTCTGTGATCCTCAGTCGTAGTCAATGGTACATAAGCATATGAAATATTAATAAATAACCTAAATGGTACAAGAGAATCGCGTTCAGTTTTGGTATTGAAATTGCCACTGTTCGTATCATACGATTCCTGATGTCGGTTTGAATACGAAATGAAACATCGCAGGGTCCTCTAGCCCACGACGGCTTAGGAATAATGAAGGCATGGTTGATCTTCACTTATTACTATTTTGACGGAGGAAATATATTTCTCAAGGTGTATATTCCCTGTGCCTTAAGTGATATGTAGCTAATGCACAAAGTGCTTCAACGGAACGTTTTGCCGATAGTTTCGAACACTTCGTATACAAAACGAGGTAGTGTCTAGTCTCGACTGGTGTCATCCATTCCTCCCCTACACAAAGCTACAACAATTAACAGAATGTGTATATGATAGACCCGTATAGGCGATTTTATCACTCGAATCTTTCGGGCTTACTTACTCACGCCAGAACTTTTGGCAGCTCCAAAGCAACGCAAATGAGGGTACATTGAGTCACGAAGCACGCTTCAACGCAACTTTTCCTTAAGTCCGTTGTTGTGTGTTAAATCGCTGCTCTGGTATGAGAACGTAAATTTCACTAAAATGCAAGATTAATTTCTGTTATTGATCTGAAGCATTTTAAACAGACAGACAGGGAGTGACGAATGAAAGATTTTGGTTGAGCTGCAGTTATCTATTCAGCTAAACGTCTTCCCTTGTGTTTATTGCTATCAAGGTACAGAGCTACAAAAAAATCAGTATTTATTAATTAGCACCTCCAAAGAGACATCTTTAATGAGGGTTTCAAGTACTCCTGAATCATAAAAAGATTATTATTTATTAGAAATTGAGAATACCTCTTTCGCGAAATCTCATCATTGTAAGGTTGAGAAACAGGCAGCGCATATGGCCAGACATATTTTTTTCAAGGCCGTAGCGTATGTGAAATGCACACTAGACGATATAAAGGGAGGTAACGTTTTGTTTAATATTTAACTCGATATGTGCAAGATTGTCGTTTTAATTACAGCGGCGAAGGGTGCAAGTTGAAGCATAAATAAAATTCGTTAAATGGTGAAACTGTTGAGAGTTAATAACGAGTTCTTAACAACAGGTTGCTTCCTCTCCGAGAATCATACCACCTATGTATGCAACGCCGGTGAGAGCACGTTCAGAAATTGTGTACGTCTATGCCTCCTCGCTATTTGAGTCATGTGATCAGCTGCTACACCGGTGCTCTACGATCGATTTGTTATATCGAAGAAGCAGAGGACCGACTTCTGTAAATCTCATCGTTCACTCCAAACTTCAAGCAGATCCGGCTACGTATGTGCGCTTTTCTCCCAAATGCATTGTCGGTAGACAGCACTTAGGCATTATAATGTGTTATGAATGGAGTCGTAGGTTGAACAGGAAGAAAATTGATTGAATTTCTGTTTAGGTAAGGGCTCATATTGGTAACATCACGCAAACTTTCATGGGATTCATCTTTGGCAAGGACGTAATAGCCAAAGAAGGAGATAACGTTTTCATCCGTGGTTCTCTTATACCCTACTGAAACCCCCTCTTACGTATCACATTTGTGCATAGGGGTAAACTTTCAGAGAACACAAGGAATAAACTCGAATTTCATGAAAGTTTATTGTAATTTTTGAGTAAATAAATAGGGTTCCTGAGGCGGAATTTTCAGACATACCACTGCGCATAATGGGATGACTCAAATTTCATTATATTCATGGAAACGTGACTTTCGTCGAATATGCAAATTGGGTAACAGCTGGACAAGCACTGCCGGATCACATCGGCTTAAATTCGAGCAGGAAAGTAATATGAAAAGTGACAAACAAAAATTAGAAGATGCGTCTTTCGCAATGTTCTCAGAGCCTTAGGATTATTCATTGCTATAGTGTTATAGGAAAAAGCCCGTTTGGTTTCCTTTGAGAATTCACCTTATTTTTAGCGTCGGACAGACTACAACTTTGTTACATAATCCACTCTATGGAAAGCTCCGTCTGCAAGTTTATCTTATAAGAGTAAAACTTCTGCATAAGAAAAACAGTTCCTGAATTTTCAAACAATTGACTCCTTAATTAAAACTTTGGTGAATGATGAAAGTTTAATAACTGAACAAGGCCACAAAAGAATCTCGTTTTCTCAGAATAAATTAAAAATTGTCGTATTAAATAAATACGTAAATGCGGCGAAGAGGAAAGCGAAATGATGAAGTATTGACGAAACTGCGAATAAAACTTCAATCGCAATTCACTGCCAAATGGCCATGAATTAAGAGTGCCAGAATTACTTTTGAGATCAGATCCGTGTCACCAGGGCAGGTCCCTTTCAAGACAGCGATATATTTTGAGCGTTCGCGCTAGGGTTATTCATCATGGGCCCCAGGGCTCTTCGTCATCCTATTGAGTCCACAGATATGTCCGTTTAAAAAGAGATTTTCAGGATTTAACGCCTTAGAATCGTATCCTTACAGGTTGTTTAATATGAGGAAAACCGCAGATTAAAAAGAAAATTTCGTCTAATGTTTAAATGCGTGACATCTTTGATACAACGTTGTCACTTATTTCTATTGCGCACACACTGAGTACCAAATGAGGGGAAATCGTAGTAGCAAACCAAGCGCTCTTCTCTCCATCAGTTTGCTCCGCCATTTTTGCATGCCGATGTTGCTCCAAACATGAAATATGACCCAGAAAGTACAACGGAACTCAGGCTTCTGCCCTGACTGCCTTAAAGTTTGGAGTCAAACATCCAGGCAGGAGCTGATACTTCGTCCCGTAATTCTTTGCACAGAAAAGTTGTTCCACCAGTAAAAGAGAAGCCAGTCAGTTGAAACAAATAAACGAAACACTGTTTTGCGAGGCATTTGGCATCATGAATATTCTACCACTGGGTTGGAGACTCGTCACGAAACTCATTCTACCAAAAGGGGAGCCAAGAGGTTCATTTAGTATGAGGAAAATTGAAGGTTAACTAGAATATCTGACAGTATCGCTCCTACGTTCGTAGATATTCTAGCCATGTTCAAGTTCAGAACCAAATCAGCCAGAAAAGAATGCCCGCTTTGAAATCAAGTCTCCCTCTCCTTCAAGTTTATTCTAGAAACTTCTTGCAACGTTGTTGTGATGGGAGTTGCGCAGCAAAAGGAGAAAGCAGACTATTGTTTAGTCGACCTTGTCGTTAATTTGAATCTTCGAAAACGGGAGCGCCCGGATTTAGCACTCGATGGATATTCCACTCAATAATACCTGACATGGCTTCGTTCTGTCTGTTCTAACAAAAACTCGAGTTCAAACGAGA